TGCCACTTCAGTTGGGCTCTTGGCACAATTCGTTGGCCAGAAGTAAAGCTTTAATTAAATTTATGCAAATTTTCTTTTATTTTGATAAACTTTTTAATTAGGCTCGAGTGCAGACAAACAAGTTGGCCAAATATTCCAAAAATTGAGGCCTAATCTATGCTAATTTAATGCGCACCTGTTGGCATTACGGCCAATTCAGCGAACTCGCTGAGAGCGCGCCAGAAACTCTCTAATTGAAAGCCAACTCGAGGAAGAACTTTAATGAGAAATGTGTTCTCTCGCGGAGGGGGCGGGGAGGAGCCAAAAGGAAGAGCGAAAATGTGGCCAAGTCGCAAGCAACTGTTTTTCACTTTTCACGTGGCGGTTACCTTTGTTGTAGCTACCTGTATCTGCCTGTCTCCCACTCCCGCTCTCCCCCTACTCAAGCTCAGCATCTAATTGCAAGCCGCAAGGCAGACTGCGGGCATTCCAAGAGCAAATATAATGACGAAAATTAAAGGGAAAATTGAGGAAATTATGCATTAGACAGGAAAATATTTGAGGAGCCGACGCCAGGTGACATCATGAACAAAACAAAACTTTTGAGGCCAACCACAGATACCTGTATCTGCACCTGAGGCTCATACATATGTTGCCAATATCAAAGAAAACTCCTTTGATTACGCAGAAAGGCAGAGCTGAAGCCAAGCATATGTAATTTCTTTATAAAAAGAAGCTTTGAATCTTTAAAGCTGCTTAGGGAGAGGCATGACTGATAATGACAGAATAATTGTCAAAAATCTTAGCTAATAGGCAGCTTCTTAAGCTACTAAAAGCTTTTACAGCGCTTAGCTGCAAAGTAAAAGCTTTAGTACAAGGCTTATACTTAAAGCTTTTCAAACAATTAAGCTTTAAATTTGTTGAATCCTTTTCATATTAAAAGCTCATGCCTAAAATATATATTTTAGTTTTTCTATTTATACTTTTTGCTGCTATGAAGCCTTTATTATCTGCACTCTGTCTGCCAACACTTTCAAGCTAACTAGAGCGCATGGCTTCCTAGAAGCTTTTAAAGCACATTAAAGCTTTTAAGCGCAAGCATTAGAGCTTGACTAAAGCGCTTATGTGAAAGTCTCAAGATAATATTGATATAAATTAAGTTAAATTAAGTCAAATTAAGTCACGCATTAACGCTTAAAGCTTTAAGCTTTAAGCTTAGCATTACTAGTTCTTTAATTATTATTGTTTTGGGGCACACACACAGCAAACGCTACATAAAACACATCAACAGGTTGTCTATCTCAGTTGCTCACTCTCGCTCCCTCCCACTCTGAGCCTGTCACCTTGTCACTCTGTCTCTCTCTCTCTGCCTCTGCCTCTGAAATGCCTCTGCGCTGATTGAATAAAAATTTCATTAAACGAACATTTGTTAGGGAGCGCGCCTAGCAGCAGCTGCTGCGCCTTGGGAGTAGGAGTAGTAGTCGTAGCAGCAGTCCAGGCGACAGACACTCGACTCAAGTCCTGGCAATTGCCTTCGATCCTAGCCTGGAGCCAGCAGCAGCATCTGGCTGTGATCCTAGTCGAGCGGCATCTTTGCTCGCGTTTATTTTAATTGCCGGCATTAGGCGTCTGCAGATGGGCCATAAAAACGTGAGCAGTGGCTGCAGGACGCGTGAGGCAGGCGGCTCTATCAAAGCTGGATTTTACTATATACATATATATATATATACTATAGATGTATATAGATGCTTTATATACATACATAAATGCCTTTGTTTTATGCCTTGCGAAGGCTTCATTTCCGTTTGCCTTTAGCCAGGATTTGCTGCTGATAGAGAGAGCGAGATTGAAGAGTGTGAGATAGAGAGAGAGAGAGGCGTAACTGTTAAGGGAGTAGGGGCTCGAGAAGGCGTGGCATTTGCCTTTGCGGTTGTTAAATCGTTTTTATGACGTATTCACAGCACCGAAAAAACATTTTTGTTTGTGGTTGATAGATTACGTATGTGTGTCTGTGTGTGTGTTTGTGTGCATGTGTGCGTGAATAATTTGACAGATTTATGCACCTTTCGGCAGCAGCTCATTGGCGAGAGCCAGTTGAAAAGCCACTGGATAAGGCTTTTGGTTTAAGAGCTTCACTTTTAACGACACGCGCAAGAGCATGCTAAAAAGAGCAGAAAATTAAAATGCATAATTGGACTTTTATAGCGCTGTCAATATTAATGGAAAGACGTAAATCGTTTAAAATGCGAGGTTTATCAGCGGCAGTGCATCCAAAACTTGTGTCACTGGAGCAGCAAATGTAAGCATAGCACAATTGCTCTTAAATATTAAATGGCTTGTAACTTTGCTAAGCAGCGCACGCCATCCATTGGCTTTGGTTGTCGATTAATGATTATGAAAATGTAAACGTTCCACCTAGCATGAATGCTTGAAACTATTGGTGTTGGATATATTAACATTGAAGGAGGTATGTGAAATTCGGTAGCAAATGGTGCGTAACTTTGCTAAGCAGCTGACGCCACCTAGCAGATCTGCATGGAAACTGCTGATTTGTGAAATGTCCGTTGAAATTTAAAATCTTGAAAGCGTATAAAATAAAACAATTTTAGCTTGAGTTTAAACTTAATGGATTAGATTAGTTATATATATAACTGATCCATTAAATTGTAAATATATAATTAAGCTATATATATAAGACCTTACTTAACAGCATTGTAGGCATAGAAACCTAGCTTTAATGTTATTTGGCAGTCTTTATGTTAAATAACAGAATATGCAAATGCGGTTGGCATAACTACAGTTGTGTACTCAACATACACAAACAACGTACACCCACACACACTCGCTCATATTTGCCAGAGAGCACTCAGTTAATTTCCAGGCACTCAAAGCCACGGCAAGATAACGACAGGTAGACAAGAGCGCACAGCAGGCAACGAGGGGCAACAGCAACCAGAGAGAGAAACAGAGAGAGCACTTGTGAGAGCGACGTTCGCGACTTACGCTCTTTTGCAAGCAGTGCGACGCGCGTCACAGGTAAAATTCAAAAGTTGTCTCGCTGTAACGAACTTTTGACGATCGCCGCTCTGGGCATGAGTTGAGCAAGTGCAAGCGAGACGCGTTGCCTAACAGCGACAGAGGCGACACGATGACTGAAGCTGGAGTTCAAAGAGAGCGGGAGCGGCAGCGAGAGCGCGGCCGTAAAGTCAAGCCAATGCTGAATGGAATTGATATTGAGACGAGGCGAGCGTCAGTTGTTCAGCGTATTTACCTGTTTGCGGACGTGTTTTCACCAGCGTAGAACAAACTGTCGCAATTGCCTGTCTCCATCTCTCTCTCATTCACTCTATATAAGTGTGAGGCAGCGCGCGCGAGTATGTGTATGTGTGTGTGAGTGTATATAAATATTCAATTAATTACAAAAGCAAAAAGTGAGCAAAAGAATGCAAATAGCTGCGTGATAAAGCATAAGTGAAAAAGTGCAACAAAAATAATAAAAGCAACAAAATACAACAGTCGCAGCGGCAGCAGCAGAAACGGAGCCCACAAGCGCAGCGCAAGGTGCAGACAAGGTAAGCAAAAGTTGAGCGTCGCACTTGATAGCAACACACACACACGCGCACACGCACACAAATACAAAAATTCGACAGCGAAAATATTTAATGAGCGTGGCCCGTCGCTGTCTGTCTATGTGTGTGTGTGTGTGAAAGAAATGCCTGGAAACAACTACAATGAAATTGCACTTGAAAAAAGAAAGAAGGAAAAAAACAAGAAGCGAAGTAGGTAGAAGCACCAGCAACAGACAGCCAGGCAGGCAAGCATAGAAGAAAAAAATCAGTTTACAAAACGGTATAAACGTGATTCTCTTTCCGCACGCCATCGCCATAATTTGCCCATCTCCCTCTCTCTGCATCTCTTCTACTCCCCCTTCCACTTACATTTGTGTGTGAATTTTTGTTGCGATTGCTGCAGTGGGCAACTACTACAACAACAAGTCGATGCGCATGTCGCCAATTGGCGCTGCAACTGTACAACAAAAAAAATATATTTTTGGGCTGCTTCAACTACACAGCTATACAGCTTCCAAGAGTGGAAGCCAAGCCTCAATAGCGCAAGAAATGAAGCGTGGCGCAGTCGCTGCGATCAGCCACACAACAGCAACAAGAAAAACGCAAATCTGGCGCAATTGAGCGCGAATGCCAAACCAGAAAAACAAGCAACAACAACAAAGCAGCTACAGTTCTCTGCCGACGTCTCTGCTGCTGCATAGATTGCCGGCCAGTGGCTTCATGTTACAGCAACAGCGACTAAGGCTCCGCTTTCGTCGCCAGCGTCGGCGTCGGCGGCAGCGTCTTTTCACTGAATGAGCCACATTCCGGTTTGGCTTCCACAATCCACAAAAGCATCCCCAAAACCCACACAAACAAATACAATTTCAAATACAAACACACGTACACACGTACAAGCATACGCAACGCACGCACGCAGCTTCTACGGTCGACTGCGACGCAGCAGCGCTCAAAAACATGTTCCAAGCCACGCTTTGAGCAACCACAACACCAACAACTACAACAACAATCAGAGCTTTAAAAAGCTACATGGCCAGTTTTTGTTTTTCTTCTTATGTCGTGCGGCTGCTGCGGCTGCGCCTGTGACGACGACGACGACGTTGCGCCAACGCTACATTCCAATTAGAGCGTCGACGTTGACGGCGCCGTTGACGTTGCCCTGGCAACAGGAATGTCAAGCCCAAAACACACACACATATTCATGAACAGCTCGTTTTTTGTTCACTTTGGCGTTGTTGCTTTTAGAAATTCCAGCGCATGGGCCGCGCAGTCGGCGTCACAACGAAAACGAAAAGTGCGAAAAGTGAAGCGTCGTCCAAACTTTAAGCACAACTTGATTGGAAGTCAGCGTGTATCTGCTGCCATCCTGCTCGCACCCCCCTCTATCGTCTTGCTGCACTGTATTTTTTCATTTCGTTCAAATTCATTTCCACCCAAAATAAAACAAAAAAATTGATGAACCTGCACGTTTTTAGTTGTTTTTTTTTCGCTGCATGTAATGTGAGGTCAGTAACACTGTTGTTGCCCAAACATTCATCACGCTCCGTTTGAGTTGGGCTGGTTGGCTGAAGCAGCCGTTGCAGCCGTGAGAATCAGTTAATGTTTATGACGTCACAGCTTTTGACTTACGGTTTAATGAACTTCCAGTCTTTTTTTTCGACTGCTGAAGTTTACAGAGTTAGGGAGAAAGAGAGAGGGAAAGACATTGGAATATCCGGTGTATTTCGCTTGTCCCATCTCTCATTAACATTTCTTTTGATTCATTTTTAACAGTTGATCTACATGCGAAATTTTACTCCTCTTCTCTTTTTTCGTGTGAAATTTGAATTTTAAGCTTTATTGCTTTGCACAGTAAATAGAAACTTTGTAAAACAATACATATTCTTTTGTATATAGAAATATATGCAACTGGAGCGAGTTCTTGAGTAAAAGTTAAACCTAAATATTTTTCAAATATTTTTTGACAAGTTTTTCAAGTCTTTGACAGCTTAATTAAGCCTAATTACTTCAATTTCGCCCAAACTTTTTGTGCCCCAAGCTTTTCTCTTTTTTAGGCTTTTGACTTGCTTTTTCGCAGACTCAATTGAAAATTGGTTCCATAAAAAATCAAGGTAAAAGCCAAAAAAGAATTTAATATAAAAGCACATGCTGTGAATTATAATGAGAGCTAACTATAAACAAAGTTTTCTTCTTTTTTGTTTCGGTCAAATGAAACTGAAATTGTGGCTGGAAAAACTAAAAGTCAACCGCACATCAAGGCGTGGCACGTACACAACGCCCACAATTTGAATTTTGAAAGTTGGTAGCGAAAAAAATAAAGTGGAAAAAAGAAGAAGCTGAAAATACCAGACAGTTGACAGTCCTTTTTAATTTGTTTTTCTTTTTTACCTCGACTTCCGAGAGAGTGTACTCACTGTGTATGTGTGTCTGTGAGTGTGCTGGTGTGCGTGTGCTAGCTGGTTGAGGTATCTGCCGTCCGTCTGTCTGGCGTCCGTTCAAACGAAGCGTGCGAGATTTTATTTAACGCACGAAAGGAATTCGACGCTTGGTTTTTGGGCTGAGTCTATATTGTATGAAGTGAAAAAACGAAGGAAATAAAACACATGCCACAACTAGTTGCGCGCAGCGGGAATGCGAACTTTATGTTCGTGTTGAGGGCATGTGACGCACCCCAATCGAGCCCCCGTACCGCCCACCAATACCCCAAATCCCGAGCGTTACAATTGTCCGCGTGCCAACAGAAAAGAATAAGTTTTTTATATCCTGTACGCATTGAATGTGTGCACAGTGGGGTAGATTGATTGCTATAAGAGAATGTGTGATAAGATTATACCCCATCTGTATCGGCATATGTATCTGTATCTTTATCTGTAAATGTATCTGTATCTGTATCTGTATCTGTATCTGTATCTGTATCTGTATCTGTATCTGTATCTGTATCTGTATCTGTATCTGTATCTGTATCTGTATCTGTATCTGTATCTGTATCTGTATCTGTATCTGTATCTGTATCTGTATCAGTATCTGTATTTGTATCTGTATCTGTTTTGTCTAGCTTAAATCAGTTTATAGGGTATCCCTTAGTCTTCTTCTTCTGTCTGTCCGCGCTGAGCATTTCAAACTTCCTCTTTGTTTTTGGTTTATTTATTTTGCTTATTTGGCGAGCGAGTTGCCAACTTTTTCCATATGTGCCGTTTGCAGAGGACGGGCAAGGGCAGGAGGCAGGGTAACAGAAGTCACCAGAGGCGTGTGGCTGGCTGGGCGTGCTTGGAGGTTAGTTAGAGGCTACCCTGTACTTACATGTGTAAGTACAATCATTATGCGAGGCGGCCTGCCATATAAATATTATATGCGGCTGCCAAAAGCAGGATATTTGGCTCTTCTGCTGCCACGCCCATACACACGTACAATGAAAGAGAGGGTAACAGCGAGTGAGGGAGATAGACATAGAGAGAGGCCACGCAACCGTTTGGTTTTTATGTCTTTTGTAAAATTTTATTTAATTTTTGAATCTTTTATGAAAAGTTTAATATTTGTTTTTCATGCTAGCGATTTGCATAATTCAAATAACACACATACACACACAGACAAAGTGAAAGTGACACACACAAACGCATACCTGTGGGCAGCAACGGGGCGTGGCATGGCTTGGGGGCATCTGCCTTAACGGCGATATATTTTATGAATGCAAATCCCTGTTCATATTCGCATTTGGTTTACTTACTTGCCGAGCAGCTTACACCCGCACACAGGGAGTGCATGGTGTGTGTGTGGATGTGTAGGTGTGTGGATGTGTGGGTGTGTGGCTGTTCGAGTTTTCATATTCAGTTTCATTCATATCGCAGCTTCATTCATGCACTCCGCAAAAAAGAAGAAGACAATAAAGGAAGAGAAAAGTCGACTAAAACTGAATCTGAAACTGAACTGAATATTTATTATTATTATGTTGCAGCCACGCCCCCAGGCATGCCACCTTTAAAAGCTCGCCCCAATTTCAGTGCTTGGCCCAGTTCTTGGCTTTTTTTTGGTTTTTGTGTTTATTTATTTATATTATTTTGTGCGAGACGGCTTAAATGCGCTTTGCAGATATTTATATGCCTGCCAACTGCTTAAACGGGCCACCAAAGATATGTTTATTTGGCAACACAGAGAAACACACACACATACACACGCACAGTTATGCAAATTTTTAGATCATCTGTTCGCTCCATTTGCCGCATAGCGAGAATCAAAGTTTTGTTGTGCGACAAAAGAGTTTGGCTTTATGCCACGCCTCCACACACGCGCATGCATGCAGCCTCCGCGTAAAATATTTAAAATGCTTTAGGAATTTATTTTCATTTTCCCTGACAGCGCAATTTTAGTTTTCTCTCTGCTGCATACGAATTTGATTTTTATTTTTTCCTCCCATTTTCCTTTCACAATACTGTCTTTTATTTATCTTTTATTTATATGTTTTTTATCTCCATTTTTTTTTGGCATTTTGCAACCCTAAATCTAACGAATTTGTAACTGTAACTCGGCAATTGGAAAACTCTTTGACCTCGTTTCACTTTTTTCTTTTTCAAAAACTTAGATATGCATTTTTGTAGCCTCTTGATTCGATTAAAAATCAATATATTCATCAGCTCGATTGGTATGAAAACATTGCAGGTTTTACTCTAATTCCAAAAATTCCGTTGGACACAAAAAGAATAATTGTTGAGCTTTGAAACAGTTGGAAATGAAATGGGAACACAGGAAATGAATTAGCTTGGATTATTTATAAAGTCAGTTGAAATTTCCTCTTAAATCAAAAAAACATTTCAATTCGAAATTTTGATCAGTGAATAAATATAATATAATTAATTACAATAGCTTTAAACGTTTTTTATTAATATGCTATTATTTTTTATTAAAATGTTTAACAGTGCTTTGGTCTATCTATAAGTATCTATAAGTACATCAGGCTAAGTCACCATAGATATGTTTTCGAGTGCTGTACTGTGCAATGTTGTCCTTTAGATAAAATCATTTCAACATAATATTTAATTGCAATTGTTTTAATTCTGCAAAAAGCTTTTTTATAAATTGTTAATATGCCTGTCTTATTTACCCTATAAAAGAAATGAAGAAGTGTAGAATAACCTGCATGATATCGTAATTTTGCGATAGTTTAAACTTGGCCATTTCTGTGATCCCGCCATGGTCATTTGATCAGCTGCTATTGCCTGACTTGAGCATAATCTCTTTACGCAGAGCCTCTGACAATAATGTAAGATAATGAAGATCGAAGATCTCGACTCCGACTGCAGTTGTCCTCCGTAATTGAGTTCCACAATTAGTGCGCCAGATCAGGGTTTCTCTCTGCCTTTTACGTTCGCCTTCTTTTTCTGACCTTTCCTTCCAGCATGGTTAAGTTGACTAAATACAGGGTGATTGCTAGGCCATCATATGCGCAGCTTGAGCTGCATAATCTTTAGTAGATTCGAAATCAATGTCAGCATTAATTTAATTGCAATTTACAATTAAAATTACACAGTTGCCGCACTTCTGACCCAAAAGGCTCACCCCGCTCATTCCTTCGCTTCTTCCTACTTAGGCGAAATTCACATTTGACCTGCAATTTACCTGCGACAGTTACGACCTATGATAATGCTTATATATCTCCGGCCTAAAAAGCTCTTCCTGCTACACCAAATATGAGTGTGTGTGTGTGTGTGTGCGATATACGAATATGCAACGCAATTCTGAACCGGCAATTGCCTGAAATCCTTCACGCTTCATCAATTCGCATTATTGTTGCCATTGTTGTGTATGTGTGAGGAGGCTCCACATTGAATTGCAAATGTGGGCGCAGCTGCTGATGTGAGGTGAGGTGGGTACGTGCGTGTATGAGGAGCGTAGGGGCGTGGTCTGTCTGTGGCGGAAGAGCAACAACAACAACAACAACACTATGAGCGGCGACCGCGAAAATCGAAAACGAAAACGAAACGCAGCAGCGTCGAGTACTTAAGCGAATTGCGTATTTATGTGTGTAAACGCAACTCATCATTCGAAGGGGAGAGGGATAAGGAAAGAGAGAGTGAGAGTGAGAGTGAGAGTGAGAGAGAGGGGGTATTCGCTGATGGATTTGGCTCTTACCTTTTCGCATTAAGCGAATGTCGCGCTCTTTTAGCTTTACGTTGCTGTTGCTGCTGCTGCTGCTGTGGCTGCGGCTGCGGCTGCTGCCCAACTTGTCAAATTGTCGTCTGCGATTTATTTGCCAGCATTTACATATTTTACTGCCTGCTAATGGAACTGTAAAGCAGCAACAGGGGAGCAGGAGGGCGAGAGAAAAGGGGGCGAGTCGCGTGATAGCCATTGCCAACTGGCCAACTACAGAGATATAGTTTATGCGGCGCATTAGCCATGTTTGTGACAAAAACGCAACCGCAAAATGATAATTTACTAGATTGCCTTGAGTAGGGTAGCGTAGGGTTGCCATACACACTCTGAGGGTTGTCGCTGGCAGAGCTGAAAGCGCGTTATTTATCGCTGATACTTGACGGAGCAAAACATTTGAAATGGGACAGAAAAAAATTGGAATGTTTTATGTAGATGTGAATGCGAGCTGGCAGAGGATACTATATATATATGATAATGATATATGCATATATATATATACAGTTGTGTTCATGAAAATAGTTGCGCTGCACTGCACAAAACCAAATGAAACTACACGTTTTCCTTAGAAAAAAAAGAACATGAAACTGATTTGAAATTTAAGTCTAAGCTTTGTATTATCGGCTTAGAATTCGAATCAGTTTGAATAAAATTCCCCATCTTAAAGTATCCCAGTTGCGCATACCCGCTAAGGGCTCAACTTGACAGCGTATCCATAAGCCTCTCCAACAATAATACTTAACTGCAAATGAAAACACTTAATTTGAAGAGCTCATTTCATT